GGGGCAGGAAGGAAGAACTGTCCACGGGAGTTGCACACTAATTAATTGTAAATGGGGTTATTGTTCTGCCCAGGCATATTCAGATAATTACACAGAGTATGGCAGGACACAAGACAATACTCAGTCTCTTCGGAGCAGGCCCGGCGACGGAGGAGGGAAGACAGAGGAAGAAGAGGCGGACAGGTAAGGAGTGTGACCAGCCCTCCTGAGGGTGACCCTGCAGAGCCCACCATAGAGAGTCTATGGTGGGCTCTGCAGGGTCACCCTCAGGTGAGCTATGTGGGCTCTTCAAGGGGTGTAACTAGATATCACAGGGGCCCATACAAAAATTTGCTATGGGGCCCTGTGATTTCTAGTTACGCCCCTGGTCACATATATCCATCCAGAATGGACAGCTCAAATGAAAAGACCACCGTTCATGCACAAAGCAACCACCATTGGGAGCACAGTGTTTATATACACCAATGGCCTCATGAGACAAGAGCCCAGCATGACAAGAAGGGCAGTAATTATCATATTCCAAGTTATTTTCAAACTGTTTGCAGATTTATGAAAGGAACCGTTCACTTTTAGAATACAGCTTAGTGTTTAGCATTGCAGCACTGAGGTCAACTCATAATCGAGCATGGAGGCTGTATCACCCACAGCCCAGATACACACTGGTAGCTTAAAGGAACCTTGTCACAAGAGAAACTATAAGGTTATTGCTGAGGTTTCCTGCTGAAAGGTCCTTCTCACTGCCTGGCTGTCAACTGGGGTAGCCTCTCATAGCCACATCTTCAGTTCTCATGAGTGCCAGGAACAAATCCCAGCATTTATATCCACACAGATAGCATAGAAACCTTCATCCAATCACCATGGAATGTTTAGATGTTGGTTGCCAGGAACAGGATAGGAGGTGTGAAATTTGTGGAACCAACCTCTTCTAGTTGCATGAATCCATCCTGTTTAGGTGTTAATACTTCATGTCGCCTGACTGTAGGTGTTAATTGTTCTTACATTTCTGGGGTAGAGATGTTTAAATGGAATAATATATAGAAAATGAGATGGGATGTTCAGAGATGGTTGTTCCAGTTTGATGTAGATGGCCTCTTTCACACCTTGGAGTCTGCATATGTGTTAGTCCTTCAATTCACATGGCTGGAGGTGTCATAATTGCCGGGGTAAATATGTTAAAACGACATTCTATGATAAAGACCAATGGTGTTAAAGGCCTCTACCCCTGTTAAGGGATGGTCGTTCCTGTTTTATGCAGATGGCCTCTTTCATCCTACTTGAAAACCAGATGTCCTCAATGTCCAAAATGTGCACCTCACTGTGCCTGAAAGAATGTCCCTTTTCCTTAAGATGTATGAAGACTTTTGAGTCTGACCTCCTGGGCCATTCGTTTGGTTGTTTTGTCCCCCTGGTGATCTTTGCATTCCTCACTACACAACTATTACCAAGTTACTTTTCTTGTGTTTGGTGTTGGGTCTTTGGTCTTTGGATGTCCAACCTTCTGTCTCAGTGTATTGCTAGGCTTGAAGTACACAGGGATGGGATGTTTGTTAAAGATCCTTCTCAGTTCTTCCTTCCAACACTCCAGCTACATTTTAGATAATCATATTGTTCCATGAGTTCTGCTTCTCCCCTTAGTGTGATGGTCCCGTGTTTTTAGCTTGACCTTGTGGGTATTTTAATAAAAGTCTGGGTAGCCACAACCTTCAAAGCCTTCCTGATGTCTCAGTCTCTGATGATGACTTTATCTTCGGACTCTGCGTTAGTTGTAACTAAAGAAGTGGCTTGAAGAACCTCCAAAAGGTCTTCAGAACAAGTCCAGTTGGATGATACTAGCTACTACTAGCTACTACTAAGGAGGCAAGGCAAAGAGACGTGGTGATATACAATACACAGGAGCCACCAGTGACCAATAGCAATCAAGCAGAGTGCACATTATTGGCCTTAAACCATTGAAAGATTAATTCTGATTGGGTTCAATGGGCTAATACACTTCATGAATTGTTTTTGACATTTTCAGTTAAACTCAAGCATAGTAAGAACAATGTAATGTCATGTAATGCTCACAGTTTCAACAGCACTTTAAAAAACCCGTACAAATCTTAATTGGCTGAAAATGTTTTTACTAACCCCGAGGTGTGACCCTCATTTACTTCAATTAATTTTAGTAATTGTCGCCATGCATCTCCGTGGCTGTGTATCAAAATTGTTTATCTGCTCACCTATTGGGATAACTGAAGAGATTCTGGGAAATGTGCCTAAAAATTATCAATTTTGCCAAAGATTTGATTAAGCTGTTTATGCAAAAGTTCCTTTTCTTTAGAAGTGCTTTTTTTTTTTGGAAGAGGGGGGGATTTAGAGTAGTTTATTTAATTCTTTGTATTTGTGTTTCCCCCCTTTTTGTGTGCATTTGATTATTTGTATACTGTTGTTTTAAATATTTTTAAAACATTTTTTTGTATATTTTCTTCTGTGGAAAGTTGAAAAAGTTGAAATGAGCTTCCACAATCCTCAGGAGAGATTTGAAGTCCATTGCACCTTTAAAGCTGAACTCCAGGCTAAAAAACATTCATGTACATCAATTCCTCAATAGCCATAAAGGATATAAATCCTCCTTAGGAGTAACAAATGCCTTTAAAAATGAAGATATTAACTTGTAAGCATAGTTACATAGTTACACAGTTAGTCCGGTTGAAAAAAGAGATATAACAAATCAGTGACATCATCACTGTGCTGCACATAGCCTTTGCAGAGAGCAGAGAGGCACTATAGGCTGCCTGCAGCAAACTAAAGGGGGAAACACAAGGAGAGAGGGGAGCAGTGAGCGGTCTTTATCACAGGAGAGGACAGAGACGAGACCAGTCACCCTGCCCAAGGAGTAAGTGCAGCAGTGACCGGTCTTTATTACAGAAGGGGGCGGAGACAAGACCAGTCACCCTGCACAAGGAGAGAGAGTAGATGTGACCGGTCTTTATTATAGGAGGGGGCGGAGACAAGACCAGTCACTCTGCACAAGCAGAGAGCAGCAGTGACCGGTCTTTATTACAGGAGGGGGTGGAGACAAATCCAGTCACCCGGCACAAGGAGAGAGAGTAGCAGTGACCGGTCTTTATTATAGGAGGGGGCAGAGACAAGACCAGTCACACTGCACAAGAGGGGGGAGACAGAAGTGACCGGTATTTACTACAGGAGGGGGCGGAGACAAGACCAGTCACCTTGCATAAGGAGAGAGAGCAGCAGTGACCGGTCTTTATTACAAGAAGCTCCAAGTCTCACACTGGATTACTGCACAGATCTGAAAGGAATGCACAAAGCTCACCAAGACTCACACATCACTCTTGTATTTAGACAATATTTGTCAGAGGTCTGCTTTAAAAAAAAACACCAAAAACCACATTAAAGTGTATATATAGCCCAAACCTTTTGGATGGAGATGGGAAGGGTTAACTTAAAAACCCTGTCTGATGATTTATGGCCCCCTATGTCCCGTTGGGGAAATTTGTCTTCACTTCCTGTGATAGGAAATCTCCACAAAATAAGGGGAATTCTTTTAGATAATTATCACCAGGACAAGAGTCCCCGTTGGAGGATTTCCCTTCACCTTCTGTTCTGGTGACAACTATACATTTTTTGATTTTGGTGAAAATGGTGACCAGTACATAAAAAAAAGGAATTTCCTAAGCAGGACACAGACACTTGCCAGAGGTCCAAACCCTTCACTAGTCTATTCAAAAAGAAAAAAAACTGTTTGGCTATAAATACACTTTATTTCACCTTCCTAATTGACTTCAATGCATTTCACCAAAATGGCAAATTTTTGCCAAATGTTTACCCCAATTTCGCCCATCCCTATACACTAAAGTTGCTGTTTTTTGCAGATTCTACAGACAGTCCTGCTGATCTATAGGAAATGAAACAGATCATTTCCCAAAGCAGCAAATACAGAATTGCGTACGTTTACTGAATCTACGGAGGACAGAAATCACAAACGGTCTCCTACCATCATAATGAAGGTGGACAGCATCTCGGCCATGGCCTCCCGAGCCCATTGGTTGCGGATGGAGATGGCGGCGTGGATCGATTGGATGAAGGATGTCCCCATCTTCATGTTGGCAGCTCAGCTGACGTTACCCTTTGACACCGGTATGCAGCGCTGGTTAAACTCTAACGTCCCCGGGGCTGCTTAAAAAGTTACTGGAAGGGAAATGATTAGTGCAGTTATTATAGAGAAATGGGTGTAAGCCTCGCCCTCCCCTCCTGATAGCTCCAAGGTCCAATGATCACTGCAAATAGAGAGATACGGACAACCTGGAAACAATTCCTGCTGAAATATTACAGTGAGCTCAACGCCTCCTGGATCCCGTACAAGTACAAATATAGACACGCTTGTCCCTGCCAAAAAATGTCACACGCACACGGGCCGGCTCCACACGCCGACCTTAATATTTTTTTATGTGACTTTTGCAGTTCTACACGCTTGCCGTTCCATGTTTTGAGGACTGCACAGAAGACGTGTTGTTGGAGCACCAGATCCAAAGAGAGGTCAGATCCAATTTGAAGACAGACCCTGGAGAGCCTGAGTGGAGGGGCTACTGGACTAGGGGGAGGAATAGTCCCGGGAGAAAGAGTTAAAAATAAAATGGGATTAGCTGCTCTTACCTGATTGGGCGTGAGAGCCAGGTGTCCGGGAGGAGCCGCAGGGGAAGGACCTGCAAGGGCTGAGGGACGTCCTTTTCTGGAAATCGACGAAAGAATCATGTTGTCCCTCCCTGAATTTTGTAGTATGGGGGTTGTGGGGTCCTATCACGGCAGCTTGGTGGGTTAGGGGGTCTTTGGGGGGTCTACAAAAATCGGAGTGGATTACAAAATGGGGGGCCATCAGCTGGTATGGGTGCTTCCCCCTGTTGGTGTCCGGAATTGTAAAGGGGCGGGCCTGGCCCCTCGGGAACCTGGAAGTAGTAAGTGTCCTCAAGCTTGTTGTGGTGCGGCTGGGGACATGGGTGGAGTGTTAGTAGAGGCCTTTTTTGGGCTGTTGGGCACCCAAAGACCCTTCTCAGGTCAACAATCGTTTACAGTATTATTTGTGTATATTATTTGGTTTATTACTTTTGGTTTTTGTTTGGCTTAATAAAAGGGCTGCTGTGGCCGTTAAAATCCAAGTCGCGCAGTCCGTGTGTTTATTGGGGTTTTAACGGAGGGACGAAAATTGACGAATCCATCAGTCATGGCCACAACTCAGGACTACAACAGAGGACTTCCTTTGTGTTCAATGGCCCCTGGTCACATATGAGAGTCCTGTCACCTGTAGCCAAACGCCTGTCACTGGAGTAAGTACACAAGCTACTTTTCGGCAGAATTTTTTGTTGTTTGCCTGTATTTCCTGTTTTTGGCCGCA